ATATATATTTATTTATTTTTGTATTTTGGTTTTGTTTTGTTTTTTGTTTTTTTGAGACAGGGTCTTACTAGGTAGAGACTGACCTGGAACTCACTGTGTAGCCCAGGCTGTTCTCAAACTCACAGAGAACTTCCTGCCTCAGCCTCCCAAGTGCTGGGATTACAAGTGTGTGCCACCACGCCCAGCTATAACCTTATATTTTTATTTTTGTGGCATCTGTCATAAAAATCTCTTCTTTGATTTGTAATGGTATTTACTTGAACCACTCTTTTCTTAGTCTAGCTAAGGTATTGTCAATTCTGTTGATATTTCCTCAAAACCAATTTATAGTTTTTTGTTATTTTTGTAATTGTTTTCTAATTCATTTATTTCTGCTCTAATCATTATTTTCTTTGGTCATATTTGTTCCTGTCTTTTTAGCTTCTTAAGTTATAAACTTAGATTTTTTATTTGAGATCTTTTTATCATTGTACATTTCCCTTTAGGTACTAATTTTTCTGCATCTTGTAAGTTTTGTTGTGTTCTCTTTTGTCTACCTCAGTTTTTATAGTTTTTGGTATCTGTAAGGTGATACATTTTATCAGTTTAAGATTTTTTGTGTGTATGTGCAGTACTGGGGATCGAACTGAGGACCTTGCGCTTGTGAGGCAGACACAGTACCACTGAGCTAAATCCCTGGCCTGAGCTAAAGACTTAATTTAGTGATCTGCTTTCAAATATTGCTTCTAGCTCATATTTCCTTTTCTCCTCTTCTGGGATTCATAGTACTTGTATGTTAACTCTTTTCACTATGTCCTTTATTTTTTGTTTGTTTTGGTGCTGGGAATGAAACTTGAATCCTTGCACTTTCGAGGCAGGTGGTGGAACCTCTGTGCTAAACTCCTGGCCCTGTCCTTTATGTTTTTTACACTCTATTTCTTTTGAAAACAATCACTCTTTCTCATTATCATAAGATGTATATGTTAGTCCAATCCCTCTTTTGCTTTAGTAATTTTCTTCTTTGTCCAGTCTACTATCAAAATATTCAGCTGAATTCTTTACTTCAAGTATTTCATTTTCCATTTAAAATTTTTTATTTTTCCTTTTAGAAATAGATTAAAGGTTTTTTGAAATTCTCTATTTTCTATTTAATTCAACACATTAATCATAGTTATTTGTGATGTGTAAATCACTTCAATAGCAGAATAATTTGCATGTCTCTTTTCTATTGTTTGTTTTTCCCTTTATGATCCTCTTTCTTGTTATGTCTGATCATTTTGAGTTCTGGGTATTATGCATAAAAAATTGTTCTAGATGATATCTTCTTCAGAGGAGGATAATGAACTTTAAATATTTGCTAGATGTGAATTTAGAGTATGTAAAAAAAGGTGGAATTGAAATAAACACCTTATCTATTTTTTTCTTTATTTTCTGCTATGTTCTCAGACAGTAAAATCTTCTGAAGGTCTTATTTTTGTCTTTACCAATTATTCTCTCCCTTCTTTTTTTTTTTTGATACTGGGGATTGAGCTCAGGTCTTTGCGCTTGCAAGGCAGGCCACCGAACCACTGAGCTAAATCCCCAGCCCACTCCCTTCTATTTTTGTAGATTAATTTAAAGTAATACAAATAGTAGGAAAATGATTTGCATCTTATTTTCTACTGATTAATAAGAGCCAAGATTATTGA